CCGCATGTCAGCACATACAAGTGCATGATCGGTGTCCACACATGTGCTCCAAATCGAGCGACAATTCTGGATGCAGCCTCTCCAGCGGTAACTTATCGCAATGTGATCGATCTGCGTCCGAGGCTGGTGGGCACCAAGTCACCCTTCGGCGGGTGCTGTGTCGGAAGTTAGTGCTCGCAAGAAATAAGCGAGCATCTTTACACAAATGAAGTAACCGCTCACCGTTATCATTACGGGAGCCTACACCGTGTTGACCGCCCAGATGCAGTTCATCAGTGGACAACTTTCCAACTTGTGCGTTCATATCCCCCGCCAGCACAACAGTGTCCGTGCTTCTTCTGTGGCGAAGGAGCTGGGTCAGTTGGTGGTAGAAGTCGTTCTTTACCGAATCATCGCTACAGTTTGCGGTCTCGTAGGCAGCGATAATGAATATACATCTATTAGTCCCGCGCGACTTCGAAGCTTTAAACGAGCCAGCCAATCGGACCGCACACATCCGGCTACTGATTGGAATCCAATCAACCAGAGCAGCTTCAGTCCGGGGACTCAGGGCCATGACAACACTAGCTTTGCCGGTGCTCGAAGCTGCATCGTCACCGGATAGGTGCAAGGAGAAAATACTGCTTGCGTCACCTGAAGGGGATCGCAGAGTGAGCACAGTGCTCGAGTCTTGCAGGCGGGTCTCTGATAAGCAGCAGATATCGATCGAGAGGGTCTCTAATATTCGGGCAAGTGCTGCCTGTTGACCGATTTGTAGCAGTGTGCGTACATTGAGGCATGCCAATCTGAAGGAGGATCGAGGGCTCCAAATGGAAGCCGATGAACTGGATTGGACCGCTTGGTTGGACATGGACTTGTCGACAGGAGAGGAGTGACGCTCCGCGTTCACGTGTGAGTTGAAATTAGAAGGTAAATGCCTAGCAAAGCATGTTGGGGGGGGGGGCCAAGAATCGGGGGTTGAAAACTGGGGGGATATAAGTGAAGTTGGAATGGGACGATAAGGGTGAAAAAGCGTAAGAGGGGAAATAAGAAGACGGGAAGGCTTGAGCAATAGCATCCAAACCCCTATCCATCCTGCTCGATGCAGCAGATAGGGCACCGTTGATTATCCTCTGCGGTGGCCAGAGCATCAAGAAATTGTTTGAAGTAAGATTCATAGTATTGCGTGGGCAGGATACTGTCAGGTTGCCCAGGCCTAGACAGGAGAACGATTAGGGTTCTCAACCAAAGCTTTGGTTCAAAAACCTGACCGCAAGGCAGCGGGTTTGGCGTTGGGCTACAAGGAGTCCGTTTTAATGAATAAGGTGCCACCCTCATTCCAACCCCCAACCTGGAGAACCAGGTGGCTGAGTTTGTCTGGCCTCTAACCATTGAGCAATCTGGTATGAGTGACTCTGAAGGTGCAAAAGCACCACACCGCATAGCTCAATGGATCGCTGAGGCACACAAACCATCGCACCACGGTAAGGTCCAGCCTCATTGCTATGGTCGCCTTTTGGTTACGTAGTAATTGTTTGTTCTGTGGTTCTTTGTGAGCCTAGGTTTGTCAAGTGGGAGGGTCTGCTTGTCTTCGTGAACGGCAGGCCAAAACTACAGAAGATTATTTTACGTGCAACGCCGTTAGTTGAACTACCTGTAGCACTGGTAAGCTCCTTGCTTCATGAGGGGGCTACCCTGTCCTCTGCACGGCAGCAACGTGTAAGTCAGTGGATAGTGAGCGGCGCTATATCACATCCAGTAACTTATTTACGATGGTCGTTACCGTCCCCCGTAGCTCAGTGGTCTCAACCACGGACTAGCCACAGTCGAGTTGTGGGTTCGAGCCGTACCAGGGTCCGATGGACTGCGCACTGTTGACGATTCCCGAAAGGATGAAACGCGCGTACGGTGCTTTTCCGGGCGTTGACGGCTGTCTGAGTGACTCTATATGTGACGAATTTCTACCTATACCATTCAACTCCCCCTGCTACTCTTCTGTGTCAATAGTTGTTACCCAGCTACTGACGTTGATCCTGCAATTTCTGCCTAACTCTGCATGTTTTGGAGCATTACGTGCGATTTGGGAGACTGTTCAACCTGCCTGTTTTCCCTGCTGTTAATCACTAATGGTATTTGCCTTTCGCTGGACTGTGTAGCATTGTTGCTAGAGAGCTTTTGCCTTTTAACAGATTTGGGGTTTGGGCTACCTGATACATTAGTCTGCAACTGGAGTTCTGAGATTTTTCCTCCGAATACCGCGATCAGTTCCTTTTGCTCTGCCGACGTAACAGCCAGCATCACACCTTATCGTAAGCGTCTGTACAATCTTACTTATCGTACTATCTGAACATGAGTCACAGAACCACAACCTATCTGTCGATACGCTGTTACCTCCGTTACGCGTAATGTTCACATTTGTTGCGTCGTAGGAATTGGCACCGAATGAACACATTATTTTCTAGGGGATCTCTGTTCCCCGCTTATCTGAGCTATGATTGACGTTGGGTTTGTTGCTAACTGGATCTCCGGTCGACAAACTTCTCCGGCCCATGGATCAATGGTCGGTATGCACTTTTAGGTTGCGCTGGTCACGCCGTTTAGGCTGCCTCAGTTGTCTGCTCCGGTCAGCGGGTTTGGTAGTGGTGCCTCACTAAGAGCACGGGTAACCAAAATCACACAGGCTTTGTGCACTAAAATGCACATAAAATTATGGTAGTAACGTGAGATGACAAAAAGGCCTACACGTACAATACACAGTGGTACACAGTACTAAGTCATATATTGTCTGACAGCCTTAACGTAGTTCTGTTGAATGGTATCTCAAAGGTACTGATGAAACTCAAATAAGCGAAGTTACTCACGTTGGCCTTAGTGAATAGACCTCTGAAGACTTTGGGGTGTACCAGCGTGTCATTGGACTAACTTCAAGAATCTATACCCCGTTAGCTAGAGCTTAGTCATCCGTATCGATTGAGCGTAATTCCGAAGAGGTGGCACAAGAATGTGAGGGGATAAGTCCAATTTAACACAGAGCACAGGATTGTACGATTAGCACGCACACGCTGACACGGTCATTAAGGCGGTGTGGTTGCCTAGGATTCGAAACAGTGTTGAATGACGCATTGCGCATTTTTATGTTGTGAGAAAACGTAATTCTGTTCGGCACATAGTTGCTGAATCCGGTCATCGTTCTGCACTTGGTCTGTTCTCTTCCATGATAAGAACGGTGCTTGAATACGGCTCACCCGCCTATTGTCCGATCACAATAGGTGAGGTGCAGAGACTGGAACGGATTCAGCATGTAGCTATCCGGCTCATCCCCAGTTTACGGGGTATGTCGTGCGAGGACCGATGTAGGAGACGAGGGCTTTATACCCTTTACTATCGTTGGCTTCGAGCTGATCTCATTATGACACACCGGATACTGTATCTGAGCCACTTCCCTATTTTGAGGCCGCTGCTGCACGTTCGTACACCAAGCGGCACACGCAGACACCGGTACAACTAGTGATACCGGATTTGAAGCACATCGCTTCTAGCGTTGAGTAGTGACATATTGGAACAAATCGCCAGTGACTCTAGTCGAAAGGAAATCGGTATCGAAATTTAAGAGGTTTCTTGACGCCCACTTTGCGGACTACAGGTATAGGGGGCGTATCACACCCGGATGTAGTGCAGCTGCAATAAGCTACCACCGCGCAGCAATCAGCGACGTGATTCCGCACGTGTGCCCTTTCCACCTACGATGGAGCAACACAGATTTTCTCGCCCTCTCTTCTCCGTATTCAAGCGTGGCCTCCTGCGTTTCCGCAAATGCAAACCCCCTTATTATTAGTGGGAAACGCGTCTCGGCTGCAAATGTCGTTCACTACATCTTGTCCGCGCTTAGATCTCTCCATGTGGTAGCATTTGCCTTTCCTAACTAACAAGTGCACTCCTCAATTTGCTTTAGATGTCCCGTTACTCGTAGATGTAAAATTGGAGTCACCGACTTTCACGACATTCGGTGCCAAATAGATCTTGCGCTGTTCTCACTCCTACTCTGCGGCTTGCTGCTGACTCCTTTGAGGCATATAATCGACATACAGCGAGAATACGATAAAGGCTTCTCTTGGCTGCTGCGCCTTGGTCCGTGATATAACCACTGATCCAGTCAACTACGTTTTTTGTGAACATACGTTTGTAACACTTCTGATTGACAATTGAGGCGTTGCTTGGCCTTCCGAACTAAGCAATTTGGTTTGAAATAGTAGCGAATATCCCTAGCTCGGGATGTGCATGTGGGTTTTGCACTGCTCTCCGAGCTAATTTTATTTTGCGGACGTTTCGTTTCCAGACTAGGCAAAACCATCAGTGCGGCTTTAAGGCCTCGCTTACGAAGCTGTGCCTATCAGATCTGACGACCTTTCTATCAGACTGTGGGATATACTTGCGATATCTACAATGTTTGCCCGTTGTTTTTTCCCCTTGTCCTCTTCTAAATATGTAGCACTGAGTTTAGCTGATGCCATGAATCACCATCTTCGGTTTGCACGATCGTGTTACTAATCCTTCCAAAGCAATTACCCATGTAAAACAATGGAATCTAGTATGTTACAAGACTTTTGCCTACTTTGGTTTATTTGGTCAGGCATATAAACGAAGCGTCGTGGTGTTGCGGTTGTGTCGAGGGAGAGTGCCATCTTTACCTCGCCAAGATCTACAACCGATTACTTGTTGATACTGTGTCGACTTCAGTGTTGTACATTTACTTTCATTCACCAAATACTGTTACTGCATGCACTCCGCTTTCGTCTTTCACCACAGTAGCGCCAGGGATCTTTCGGCTTGATTGGAATATCGCTCACCGGGCTACCACATTCACATTTTGCTAACCTGGCCTCCAGTAAATGCTAGTAATGGGTCTGCAGTTCTTGTCCCTGCTTTTCTTGTATAGTTGCGCTTTCTCAACCCAGTTCTGTCCAACCCATACAATTAATTGTCGCGCTTATCGGTACTTCCCACCTGTTTCTATCGGTTAGCCGACCAGTCCGGATTACGCACATCGAAAAACATCTCCGTTTCCAACCAAAACTCTCGCGCACTCCCGCGAGTAAATCTCAAGCCAGTCTCCAAGACAGCGGAAGTGGAAAACGATGCGGCGGTACCGCTATACACTTTACCCGCGGCATCCGAACGCACGAGTGCAGATGCTTCAGGAGATTCTGAGCCGCTCTTTCGTCCATTGGGACACCCCACTGCTTGGCAGAAGGAAAATGTACCAAAAGCGACGACATGGACTAGTCAACGAGTACGTCCAATGTGTTATATTGCCCATCTATTTCATGTCTCTAGTTGTTTTTTGCCAAAATACGGCATGTCTTCATTCGCGCTCCCTCTTCGCACTCACCTTTCTTCTGCTATCTCCGAGGGTTTTCTCCCGTTTTCGTTACACCGATGTATTACGTTTAAGTATGTTGGTAAAAGTCGGCTCCTAATATGCTTTTTTCTCCAAGGTTATATCGCTACAACCCTTTCGTTAAATCGGCACCCTGCTTCCACTTTATACAGATCCCTGTGATTTTCATCTCGATTCATCAGGCAAAATTCCTTCGGCGATCTATTCCACTACAGTTCGCTCGAGTTCGTTTGTCGATCTGTTCCCTATTTGGCCAATGTACAAACACAGCACGACTGCCTGATCACGACTTACGGTGTCTGCTCCGTGATCAGGACGTTCGTATACCGATGATTCACATGTCCCACTCTCGATTTCATCGTATGCTTGTCCTACCTTTCCATCGTGTCTGGCTTCACCATTCTCTCTTGGCTTTCGTCCCTCACTTGAGACTGGTCGACGAATTACTCATCTCTCCACCTAAAATCCCATAAACACGTAGGTTCTTCTGCCGTACAACAACCAGATGCTTATATTTTTGAACCTTCTTATACTGTTCATCGATGCACCATCGATACAAAGAACACATTTTTATAACCTCCATTTTTCGCAACCAGCCATTTCTTGTTTGTTATCGATCGTGATCACCCATCGCTCTATGTTCAAAAGCGGCTGACAAGGACATTAGGCTTACCGTGAGAGCATGTAGTGCATCAATCGGACATTTATTTTCCATCAACTTAATGTGATCTAGTTTTGAATCTTTCCTTAGTTGCATGTACGTGACCGGAGAGAATGCACGGAATAATAGCACCATTTCACCGTTTGTGGACTTCTGACATTCTTATGTGGAATTATAAGATAATTACTTGTTTCATTGTTCCCTTCACTTCCTTCATTTCCTTGTGGATGAATGTCACTGAATTTACACGTGCATGTGCGGACTTCCTCACTTCTGCTGCCCACCCTTACCGATACCACCTTATCTTTCCACAATAGTCAAGTACCTTGGACTCTATGGAATTGGCAAGGATAAACACCTAGACTTCGTGTACATGTCTAATGCCTTTAGATCTGGCATCAAATCTCTCTGCACTTTCTCTTCTCTTCACTATTGGTAGTTGCGCAGGAATCGCAAAAAGTACCGGCATATTGCTGTTGTTGTTCACAGTGACACTGTCAGGTCTGTAGCTTCTCTCTTCCGTAAGACGGATACACTTTGCGCTCATGTACCTTACTTTTGTCTGTTCTCCTTTCGATATCCCTCTTCCACTCCATGTCTTGTGTGTGTCCCACCTCTTTGCATCAGTATTACTTGCCTTTCTCACTGGCGGTTTACCGTTCATGCTTTGATCCCCTTGTCAGAATGTCTAGCACGCATTTTTGGTATGAGATCGTGGTGGACACGATTACCTACGACATGGGACCTCACAAACTACAAGTGTTGCATTTTTCCTCTGTATCCACGGACGTCGCGGATTTTTGGATCAACGTGTGCTGGATACTACTTATGCCTCAGATTACTGTGTTATCAACTTTTTTATCTGTGTGAATTGTGCACCAATATTCTTTATTTGGCGTATTTTCCAAGCGGTGCGAATTTGGCGGCTATTCTTTTTGCTCATTCCGGAGATCTCATTGATTTGCCCTACTGCCACTTCTGTCCGCCACTTTGGATTTGCTCTAGCTTGTGATGCCGTCTCAAGCTACTTGTGGTTCGTGTTCGAAAGTTGTGGTAAATAAGGCTCATGCACTTCGGTGCTTCGGCTGTGATGTTTTATTCCATATTTCGTGCATTGGCTTATCCGTTGACGTGTTACAAAAATCGCTCGACATCCGACATCAGACTCAGAACCTACGAAATGTCGCTTCACTGGTTGGTCCGTGAATTTCTCAGGGCCAGTCTGTGAACCTCCGAGGATCCATGGACCACTCAAAAGCGCAAAGGGCCACGTGATGGAGTTCAGGCGTCTCCTGCTGACGAAGAACAACCCAAACTGATAAACGCCTCTAGTCCCTCTCCCACAGATTAATCACCGATATCGCTGAGGCGTCATAACCTCATAACGTACCAGAGTCAAAAGATGAAAACTGCAGATACGTTATGATCACGATGTTGAATTCCTCCAGGAGCTCATCAGTAGACTCTTGGATGTGGGCGAAGATAGTGTGACGATTAAACAAGTAATCCGACTTGGCCAGAAAACTAACCAGTCGTGTCGCCCTCTGAGAATCACCTTTGCAAATCCCAATATGCCGCAGCTCATACTGTCTCGTCTGTCAAGGCTGAAAGGCATAAAAGTTCACCTCCGCCGAGACTTGGAACTCGAAGATAGGGATCGTTTGAAGACTGTGGTCATTGAGCTCAAACGCCGTACAGAGGAAGGTGAGACTGACTTACAAATTGTAAATTTTCGGGTGATCAGGAAGGGTGTACGAACCCGCATCAACCGGTTGCTCAACCTCCAGGCACTTCGCGCGGTACCTCCCAGGACCTCCGTGTGGCATTCGCCAACGTGTGTGGTCTAATGAACAAACGTGACGAACTGTGCCGCTTCGCTGTCTCGGAGCGGCCGGACGTTTTAAGACTTGCAGAGACTTGGCTGAACTCCGACGTCATAGTCCACGAAGTCGTGTTGTCAGGATACTCTTGTTTCCGATGCGACCGAAAATCAAAGGCTCACGGTGGTGTTCTGTTGTACATAAAATCGTCACTATCTGGCAAACTTACCAGCACCTATCGGAGCGAGGATAACTTATACGAGCAATTGTGGTGCACAATCCGCCTCAGACGTGCAGAAGCAATAGTGGGTGTTATCTACCGGAGCCCATTAAACCGTTGTTGCGATTGGCTACCACATGTACAGAAGCACATGAGCCGTCCTCAGTTCTCACTGATGGGGGATCTGAATTTACCTAAGATATACTGGCCAGACGTTCGGCTTCTTCCCGGTCATGGCAACGTTGAGGCTCAATTCGCTAAAATGACTATTGAAATCGGGGCAACGCAACATGTCATCCAATCGACGCGCTTAACTCCGTACTCGGCATCTTGTCTGGACCTAATGTTTACGAGCTGCGAGCAGAAGCTGAACGAGATCAGAGTCATCGAACCTCTGGCGAACATTGACCACTGCTCCATTTTGGCAAACTTAGAACTGTCGTTACCAAATTACAATCAACGGAAGCCGACATTCAACTATTGGAAGAGGGACTTCAACGGGCTTGTCCAAGCCGCAAGTCAGACTGATTGGACACTATCACAGGATGCGTCACTTGAGGTCTGTTGGTCATTAATAAAGGAGAAGTTTAACTCGCTCTGTACTCAGGTCGTTCCCCTGAAGTATTCAAAAGTCGGACCTGTCAAACCGCATTGGTTTGATACGGAATATAGACAGTTAGCGCGACGGTGTCGCAAACTTTGGGATAGATACATCAGCTCGGGTTGTGATGAAGATTACACAGTGTACAAGAAACAGCGTAACTTATGTAACGCCGCAAAGATCAAGAAACGCCGGCAGTTCGAAGAGGAGCTAGCATCCTCAGCCACAACTGCACCCAAAAGAATATTTGTCTACTTGAAACGACAACTGAAACCTGGGGCGACCTATCGGTCTTAGAGAGATTGGACAGACAAACACTCATTCAAAGCGCGGAGCGCACGGACGCCTTGGCTACGCACTTCCTCACTGTATTTTCCAGTTAACCGGCGGCGGTTTCAGTACCGGCACAGGTTGCGCAAATCTTGCTCGACAAATCTTGCTCGATGCAGTCCAAGCGTATCACCTACTCATCAACCTCGATGGGGCAAAGACCCCCGGACCAGACGGACTTCACCCACTAATACTCAACTCCCTATCGATTATCATCTCACCAGCCGTGACAAACCTTTTCAATAAATCACTTGCTGAAGGATCTGTCCCCAAGGAATGGAAATGCTCGATAATGAGACCGCTTCCCAAGGGTGGTGATTCGAGTAAAATAGAGAACTATAGACCGACCTGTTTGACTTCGGTATTATCCAAAGTTCTCGAGAAGGTTGTGAAAAAATGTCTGCTGTCGTTCTTCGAATCGATGGAGGTATTGACGCCAGCGCAACACGGCTTTACGAAAGGGCGATCCTGCATCACCAACTTGATGTACGCAAACCACCAGTGGGTACGAGCTCTCAACGAACGGAAGGGTGTTGACGTGGTGTACATCGACTTTAGTAAGGCGTTTGACAGAGTGAACCACGAGGTACTCCTTCATAAACTGAGGACCTACGGAATCGGTGGCACGTTACTTCAGTGGTTACACGAATTTATTGTGAGACGAAAGTTTAGAGTACAGGTCAATGTCTACCTGATAGCGGCCTCCGGTCGGTTATTTTTGGCTGTGTTGACAAGATCACTTTGTGTTGGCTTTCTGCGTTCATTGGAAGTATTTCGTGGAAATTTAGATACAATTCAGTTTCATTTCCGATTCTGAAATTTCCGACCAGAAATACTTGTGTTTTCATCGCTTGGTTTCGGCGATCTTGCTATCGACATTTTCTCCGTCAATTGGCCGCCATCTTGTTTTCGGATTATTCACAATGCCGAAGCAGTCATCCTGTGGTACTTGCTCCAAGCTAGTCGGATACCGTGCAAATGCCCTCACGTGTGTTTTGTGTCAAGTTAAATACCACATTTCATGTGTTGGATTATCAGTTGAGCATTTTCATCGTCTTCGCGAGATCCAACACGATTTCGTCCAAACTATATGTGAAAATTGCCGAAATAAGATACAGCCAGGAAGAGTAAAGCCGACGTGTAGGCCTCAGCGTTTCGTTGCGAACAGCTCCGTGTGTTTGGCCCAACAACCTAGCCCGAAGAGCCTTCAGGTTTCAGCTCAGTCTTCCTCCTCTACCCGTGCAAACTCACCGACACGAA